ATTCAATATTACCCATTAGCCTCAGTTACATCTGATTTTACTTTTATGGTTACCTGTACTCATAATCCTTACCAGGGCATATACATATATTTCTCTCTAAAACCAAACATTACAGTAAGCACTGTAGCTTCAATGGATTTTCCAGTTTCCTTAAGTAGATTTTCCAGTAGATGACAGATGAAAATTTCTCTGAGCTCTCTTTTGCTGCCTTGCCCTTCCGTGACACCAGTGGCTGCTGAGCCTCACAAAGCCACGTGGCAGAAATCACAGCGCCTGTCACTGGCTGGTGACACGGCCTAACACTTCTGCTGGTAAGGAAGTCACACCTCCAAACCAGCCTGGACAGGTATCTGTGGGCTCCATTTCTGAACAGACTTGATGCCTCCTTGTTTGAGAGGAGAGTTTCTTACCTCTTCAGGTTCAGAGACTCACCTAACAAAACATGGTGGCAACATTGGCTCTCAATTTTGTCAATGAAAGAAATGCAGCAAGTCTCTTCATGCCCTTCTTTAAATGTGAATAAGCTACATTTATGCTGCAGAGTGCTTCATTCACAAGTGGAGTGCATGGATTTGAAAATCTATTTGTTGTACCTGAGGAAATAGTTGCACTTCGTGCTTCTCCCTGTCTCTGTGTGGACAGCCAAGTATGAGGAATATTTTAGAACCTCATTGTGAAGAGGATTGAGGGGTTTCCAAGAATACTGTTTATGGTTTGTTTAAGGTTATCAATTGTGTGTCAAATAAAAAGCTCACTGCAGATGATCATGGTGCAGTACTTTGAACTCATTTAACTCAACATTATTTACAGAATATTTATCTTGGTTATGGCAGTTTTTGTCATGCAGCGATATTACTTCTCCATTATATACTGCATGTGACCGCCATATAAGTTTGATAATAAATGTTGGGAAATAAAAAACAGAGTAAGTGCCTCAGTATGATAGCAATTCCCATGTGATGGGAAATAATGTCATAAACTTCAAATTACCTTTTAAATAAATGTTTATGTCCAACCCATCCATTAGATCATAGCCTGAAGGTCAGGAGGATCATTTCTTCATCTTTCACTGTATGCATTATGCTTGCTTTTTTAGGTGTAAATGATGTTTTTAAATGAAGAATGGCACTCAAACTATACACAAACAATGGCTAGACATTACTGAGTCTCAGCATGGCAGAAATAGCCTCAGCCACTCTGCTAAATATAGAAATGCAGCAGTAAATTGAATTCATTCTTAGAAAATATTTTTAATGGCTGAGACAATACAGAAATACAGTTTGTGTCATTGTCACAGTATGAAGCTTTGACATTTTAGTCAAGTTTGAATTCTAGTTGTGGTTTGGTAAATGGCTGATTTGCAAAATGCTTGTGAGAGTAAATATTTTGGAGAGGAAGGCAGAGCATACCTGAGCATGCAGAGAAGTGCACAGGCGACACAGGCAACTTACGAGGGTCTGAACCATCCAGGGCTTTGTGCATTTGTGAAGAGATGCCAGCTCAGTACTCAGTAAGTGCCATGGGATGGTGTGAAACACCCCACACTGTGAGACCCCACTGTTCCCAATGCCTTTTGTAGGAGGGGAACACTGATGACCCATCTCAAGGCCAAATTCCACATAAAGACATTTTCCTGCTTTGAGCTGATTGTCCCTTGTCTGTATGTCCTGGGGGAGCCCATGTGGCTCCCCTGTGCATCAAAGCTTTTACGTGTGGTGGTCTTGAACAGGTTATCCCTGCAGTGCCAGGCTAGAAACCCAAGTGGGAGCTGGAATGGCTGGGCTGGCAGAGAGGTGGCTTTGGAGAAGCAGAAGCTGGAGCTGTGCTGAGGTGGCTGATGTGTGTGTGGGGATGGGACAGGTTCCTCAGCCAGGGCTGGGCTGGCTGGGAGAGGGGGAAGGAAGAGCTGTCGAGGGCTGTCAGACTGATCTGGAAATAAATTCAACCCAAAAACTTCTGTTTACAGGCAGGGGAAAACCCATTGTCATGGAGATTTGAAACTCCAATCAAGAAATTCAGGGGCGTTTTTGCTTTAGCTATGATTTGACCTTCCTGTTTACATTAAATATTTTTTGCAGCAGAGTGCAGTGACGTGGTTGCTTTGTTTGAGGTGTTTGACAGTTACAGCAGTTCTGGGAATTATTGTTTTGGCTCTCTATATGTCAGGAAAGAAATATGTTAATATTTGAGATAAGGTATATATTTTTTAAACATATTTAAATTTGTTATGATTCTCGACTTCACCTTCTTCCACAAGGTCCATAAACATGTTAAACTTCATTATAAAACAACATTTCTTAGTAACATATTAAATAGTTTACGTACAGAAAGATCTTTTGGTTAGAGGTTAATCTGTTCTAGAACCAATTGTCTATAATTTTGTTTCTTTTGTCATTATAATTCATTTAAAAATGGTACATTAATTTCTTAGAGATCGCTTGATCTCAGTTCTTTTTTGTTAACAGAGGTCTATAATCCTTTCCACAGCAACCACTTGTAAAAGCAGAGGATTATGACTTGAGGCAGGATATGAACAGCAGGAACAGATCAACTTAAAAACAAAGATCCTGTTTGAGTACAAATGCTATTGTTAGCACAGAGTTGGGGTGAGTCAAGTGGCAGGATGTCTATTAGAATATAATAAATTCATATCAACGCCACATGGCATGCTAGCCAGAAGACAGATCCTTCTAGCAATTATGTGACAGACTTCTTTTTTTTTATACCTTTACTTATTATACTTTTGCTTAGTCCAATAAACCATTCCCTCTAGGAATGACTGATGTCTAAACATCTGAGCAGCTTTTTGGTTTTTTTGTAGATTTATTTTCCTGTCTAAAAAGCTTCCGCTCTGTTATACTTTTTCCAAAATCTGCTAAAAACGGGGATTTGAAATTACACTACTGCAGGGTCATTCTGAGGTTAGTAATAGACATTGAGGACTATTGCTAGCCTTTCTTATAAAGTGTGTGATCCTCCAGAGAAAAGGAGGAAAAGAGGTTTTTTCTTTCTTCCTATATATAAAAATAAGAGACACAACGACATTTTTTCCTTTATTAAAAAATAAAGTCTTGGGTTTAATACTGATAGTTTAACTGACCTATCTAACACCAATATATGTGACTCAATTCAGCATATTTTTGAAGTTTAATTTATTTTTCTAATATTTTTCATGTTAAGGTTAGTAGGAAGCTAAAAAGTACCAAGTGACAGAATAAATATCACTCAAGTGTGGAAAACACCTACTTTTAGTAAAAATTAGAAAAACTCTTTCATGGCCTAGACAAAATCAATAAATATACAAAAATGCAATGATGGAGTCAGGTAGCAATTTCACTTGTGACAGTCTTCTGTACAGTTATTCCAACAACTGACACCACATAGAATTAGTAATCTTTGCTTCCCAAGCTTCTGTTGATTGTATTTTTGTAGTAGACAGTGAAATATATCCTGTCTATAAATGTTACAAATTTTATCTCAGTGTATCTTAATTTGTACATGCATGCATACATGTATGTATATATGCATATACATCCTGTATTAGATACTATCAAATAGTAAAAGTCCACATAAGCATCTCTAATGGCAAATAAGACAGAAGTTTTGGTAGAAAAGAATATTTGAAGGGGTCTTTAATCATTGTCATGTGGTGACAGGAGGAGACTGTACAATGATTTCAGGGAGTTTGTTTGAATGCTTGCTGCTGCATGGATTGGGATCCCCCTTCAGTCTCCTAGAGTTTGCGAGGTTATAAAAAAGCCCCAGACATAGTCTTAAGTTATATTTCAAACTCCTGTCTGAAAAGAAGATTTTATTGCAGTTGATAAATAATGGTTTTCAGATAATCCTACTGATGGCACTTGGGCTGCAACTAAATTATCAATGAATAAGAAAACAGAAGCCATGGCATTCCAATGGTATGAATTTTTCAGCCTGTATTATTTTGTTAGCCTGAGGCAAAAGATTGAGCTCTTAGTACTCATCTGTGCAGAATGAGTAATCTGAGACAAATGTGTACCCACGCTGGGTGTGCAATTTGGCCACATCCTATAGACTTGCCAAGGGGCCTCGCAGCCAAGGACCCCTCATGGACAGTAGTCATATGTTAAAAATGATCATTTTATTACAATATCTGTGATCTCACCATCACAACTGATTCTAACAGCATTACAACATGATAGTGTGACTGTGGGTCTGCTCATCCTATAAGAATCAGAATTTTATATTATCAGGAGTTGGTTTTACCAGTAGGATTTTCTGCTACCTAACCAGAATTCTGTATATTTGCACGAATTCTATGCATGAGAGCAACTGAAAATACGTATTCCCAGTGCTATCTATTTTGGTGTTTCAACATGACTTGCATTAGTGTGTGTGATAGCTTGAATTTTCTTTCTTCGCCAAAGCTGCTTAAACAATACAATGACAGATTTCTGCTTTTATTCTTCGTTAATGTCATTCTTCATCCTCTCTGCCCCACATCAGGGAGGAAGTGTTGCGAGTTTGCTATTTTAATGAAGAGAAATGAGGCATCTATCAAGGAGGATTTACATTGGAGAGCACATCAATTCAGTTGCCTTGAGCGTGCTGAGTTTGCATATCCAGGGCCAAGCAGCGCTCTCAATTACTCCCGTGCAACCCCATTAACTTCAGGAGGTTGTGTGGTTCAAAACTGGCTTTGCAGAATGTGGGGGAGAAAAAAATATATATCTGTTAAAGGAGTCAAGCTCCAAAATATGATTTTTGGTTATCTATATGGAGATGTGCATGCAGTCATAATTGCACTTTTGAAAGGTTAGGGCAGTGATCGTGTAGTAATTTCATTGAGCATCCCTTTGTAGCTGTGCTTAACGGAACAGACAGCCGCCCAAAAATTACTGCAGTGAGGGGAGAAACACTTCCAGCCCTGGAAACATATTGTAAATCATATGTCTTTAGTAGACTCTGTCCTGTAATTACTCTTAACTGTGGGTTGTTTGCTCCTCTCTCTCTCTCTCTAGGAGCTATGCCGGCAGCGCATGGCAGTGAAGAGCTCTGACCGCCCCGAGCCCCTGCACTCCTCCCGAATCAACAGCGTCTCCTCCCAGTTCAGTGATGGGCCCATCCCCAGCCCCTCAGCCCGCAGCAGCACCTCATCCTGGTGTGAGGAGCCGGTCCAGTCCAACATGGACATCTCCACCGGTCACATGATCCTGGTAAGGCACTTTCATCTTCGTGGCACCAAAAATTTCGACAGAATTTCAGGCACCCGCTCAGCTTTTGGAAAGAGAGAGCTTTAAACAACAGGGAAGATGTGTTTTCACAGGTGGAAAATATTCCTGAGTTTCACTGATAATCTTAACTTTGTATAATTAAAACAGGCATTTTTATTTCCTTTTTGTTTTTTATTATATTTTTGTTTTTCTTCTCTTGGGAACTTTCTTCTAATGTGAATATATGAATTGTTTTCCTGCTTGCTTTTAAGAAAAAAAAGCCCTGTGGTGTCCCCTTGTCCTGTTAATTTATGTTTAGCTCAGCTTGGACAACTGAAGAAGGCTGCCAAATTTCTGATCAGCTCACTGCTTCTTCTCATGTGTTTCCAGTGTGTGGAGGTATCTGAGCTGAGAAGGCAACAGAAGATTAGTGATGTGGAGCAATTTATTTCTGCCACCCTTAGTAAAGGGATCTGAATTTTGAGCCTTGACTGGATTTTTTTGTTTTGTCCGTGGATGAATTTCTTCCAAGCTGGATTTCTCGTGTTTGAAATGATCCAAATATATTCTATTGATGGAGTCTATGTTGTAAATCTTGGGTTACTTCCAAGCACAGCTTGACACCAGTATCAGTGTAGAAGATGGACACATTAGGAGTTTTTTGTGTGTAAGAGTCAGAGTCCAGTGGTTGGGACTGGTGGAGCTTGTTTCTGTCCTGCTGGGAGAGCTGTAGAGTAATCCTCTACTTTTTCTGCCTTATTTTAATCTTTCTTTAAATATTTACTGTCTCTATAGAGTGCATTGACATAATCTGAGTTGAAGTTAGGTTGTGGTGAAGAATTTGACCAAAAGTTGTGTTGTTTTGCTTGTATATTTGACTTCTGTTTTTACCTAAAGTAAGCATCCTTTCCAGTTGATAGTTTGCCATGTTTTTGGAAACTTCTCTCCATCATGCCATACTTTTCAGTCATAATTTTTTAACTTCTTTCTTTTTCTGGACTTATATTTGAAGGTACTATCTTCTGAGGTATTTTCCAAGTTCTTACAAGACAACCTCACGTAATGGTGGAAGGAATAAAGGCAGGCAAAACCCAAAAACCAAATTTGACCTCAGCCAAGTTACTGACCTTCTTCAGCCTTGATCCAGTCAGCTATAAAACTGAGCAAAAGCAGGGTAGGATTTTAAACCAGATGCTTCCTCAGAGTTTATGATCCTGGGTAAATACATCGCTGCCATCCCCCTCCAAAAGTAATTAATTAATTATTATGTTAATATCCGGTAGACAAGTGCAGTTTGAAAGGGTTGTTACCATGACAGAAAACCATTTGTTACAGTTTTGACTGTTCCACTATTGCCAAACCATAATTAAACTTCACTTGATTTCCTTTCATAGTTAAGTAAAATACTTGGGGCCTGGGGGTGGGAGGATTGGGAACCCCAAACATTTCCAGTTGCCCAATCTCAAAATAAATACAAATTTTGAAGCAAAAAAGGTTCAAAAAGATCTAGTTAATATATTTGTGTGGAAATTAGAGCAAGCTTTCCTATGTAGATGGAAATATTCACTTAACATTTGCAAACAGTTTCGACTACTTCAAATTGAGCAAAATCGTTTTCAGTGATATTATTGGGAAACATAAAAAGTCATCTCAAAATCATGCTTAAAGGAGAGAAAGTTGCCTAGGGGTACCACTTATTCTGGCTCTGCAAATTTCTGCAAAATTGTAATAAGGAATTGTCTTCATATGGCAGTAAATAAACTTTAAAAACTAGTCAGATTGGTCAAGATCACTGTTATGGTTTTCAGTGTCCATAATTCAGTCAATCCTATTTAACCCTGGATGAACTCATACATGTGTTAACTAACAGCAGATGTTATATCTTAGATGGTGAGGGTTCAAAGAAGGGTAAAGAAATGCTGTAGGGTTTTAAGAGTGCAAGCCACACAGAAAGAGTAAAAACAGTTCATTTGTTAAGTCTAACCTGAACAACCAAAAATCAGTGATTCAGGGGAGTCTGCCTATGTGCTGTGACATACAGGATAGGGAAAAATTGTTCTTAATGGACTCAGATGATACAATTAGGGAGAAAATATGTGTTAGCATCAAAATATGCATTTATCTTTGCTATCAGGGCAAGCATAATAGGAAGGTCAGGCAGGCAGTGGGGTGTTTACTTAAGGAAGCAGTTAAAGCATAAATACAAGATTTGCTGAAGGCAAAGCTGGGTTAGGTTTACATGGAAGGATCAGCATCCCTTAGCTACTGCACAGAAGCAGATGATTGGGCTTGATCAGAAATGCTCATGTTTTGTGTCACTGTGGGTCACAATGAAACCAGAGAGCTGACCCAGTTTATGTTCTGCTCAAAATTAAATGCACAGCTCTGTAATGCCTTATTTACCTGAATTTCTCTCCTTCTGGGGATGCTGTGGCTTGTTGGACCTCAGCAACAGAAGCAGCTCAGCAGAGGTGAACTGTTCCTCTCTTTGCCTTGCAGATGCAAGTGGAGGAGAGTGAGGAGACAGTTTGCAACTTTTATGCCATTCAATAAAAGACATTTTTCAGTTCTTCTAATTTCCCTCTGCCAAAATCTTCTTCCTTTTAAATTTTTTAGATATTTTCTTTGAAAAATCTCAGTGCCCAAAGAAGCCATGACAAATATTAGCAAGGGGCCTAGTAAGAATGGCAAATACCCTTTGCTTTGCAGGGTAAATGCACTTATAAGTCTGCAAATGTGTTTTTGAGCTCCACAATGTGCAGTGAAGGAGTAGTTAGCTGAGCTAAGGCTTCTCAGTCCTTATTGCTCATAGGTGCAAGAATCTCCCTAGAGAAAGTAAAACAATGGATTACTGTCTAAAGTGGCAGCAGGAAATAATTTCTTTTGATTCATAAACAGAATAAAACTTTAATGAAAATAGCTTAGAAGTGTGTGACTGCTGAATGATTCCATGTAATCATATTCAGAGGTAGCATTGGTCAGAACTACTTCTATAAAGCTGTTGAATTTGCTGGAAAATGCTATCAGTCATACCTGCAGTCATGTCTAAGTCAGCTCAGCTTAGGGTTTGTTGGAGCTTGGGTTGGCCACGGGTACTGTTTTCTTGGAGGACTTTACATTTGTTAGCCCACTGTTTATAGTGCTCAAGGTGTGCAGAAAGCAGGAATCTTCCAAGCCCTGTGGCTGTGGGGCAGTCTCCTCACTTAGACTGAAAGCAGCCTTCCAAGGGAAAAATCCTGCATTTCTGCCACTTCCCTGTGCAGCCAGGCAGTGCCTCTGCACTGCTGCCAGCAGCGTGAGGTGGTTTGAGCTGTTGGCAAGAAGAAGCAGGGAGGGCTCAGGAGGCCCAGAAGGACAGTGATAACAACATTCAGAGGGGTTTTTTTTTTCTTTTCACTGTCTTTTTCATCACATTTCTAACAGGAGGGTGGCGCATATGGCACATTTTGATTCTGTCTTTCTAAAAAATCCAAGCACTTTGGGAAGTGTAATTAGAGGAGCATGTTTAATGCAGTCATGGTTGTGGCACTGACTGGCTGGTTTCAGCATGAGCAACAGCTCAGGATGTGTACCCTCATTTTGGTCACCACTGGTTTTCCAAGAAAGCATCATTCAGAAGGTCACAACCAGGGAAAGAATAAGAACTGAAATTTCCACCCGCTTTATTCTCATGTGTGTGTCTATATTGCAGCTGACAAGAGAGGTTCTAATAAAGGACAACAATTCCTTTTGTAGTCCAGCAAGAAAACCAGAGGAGGTTTAAAAGTAATCAGGAGAGATTTAGTCTCCCTAACTTGGGCTCCTATGTTTTAGGCATTTAATGAAGTGTTGGTGTTGATTTGAGTCCATAAATTCCCCCTTGATGAAGTGAGTAGGTGGCTCTAAAGGTCTCCTGAGAATTAGGGGACCTTGATGTTTGCTGCTTACATGAAGGAGTCTCTCTTGTTTGTGCTGTAGCACAAGCTCAGCACGAAGGTGGGTTGGATCCTACACCTGCTTCATGTGTTACCATGCTTTTTTTGGTTAAAACAATTATAATCTTTTATGAGGTTTTAAATGAAGAAGAGTCCTGCAAGAAGGGAATGTATGCTTTTGGTGATAACATTATGAGCTTGTTATCTGAATACCATATAAGAGAGGGTATTTGCAGAAGCAGAAGTGATTTTCTGTGTTTTGCAGGATTTTCTGTGTTTTGCAGGTTTTTTCCTTGTAAAGACAGATGTGCAAAATTTGGAGCATTATGCATAAATCAGAATTTCAGAAAGTGTGAATTTGCAAAAGGTCTTTTTCAGTATTTTTTGCAAGCTGAAGTCTTAGGTGTCCCCTCCCAGAGGGCATGAAACTGCTTTATGTATTGAAAGTAATAATAATATGTGATTGTTTGTGATGCTGTACTTTTCAGAAGGAGAAGAAAGTTTCATACTTGGGCTGAATGAGATGATGGGAACAGATGAACTGAGCCTGAAATCTACGGCCTTTTATCTAAGAGATATAAGTCTGCTTAATCCCCTTGTCTTTGGCAACATGCCTGTAAAACCAGGAGGACATTCACCACAGAGGAGTGAAGGATGGACTCATGTGAGAACTTTCTGTCAAAGTCCTGGGACAGGCTGTGTCCCAGAAGGTGACACAATCCTAGCTGGGAACATGGGGTGGGGGCCTGGTGCTGCTAAAAAGGGCAAACCCCAGGTGCTGAATTTTGCATCCACTTAATTTTGATGCTGAATCACTGGCAGGATTGCGGTAGGACTGGGAAGGGCAGCAGGGAGAGAATAGTTTCCAAGATTGAACCTGGGGGTTTTTGGTGATATTGGTATGCTGTACTCTCTGAATAGTAATTTTATGATGGTTTCTTAGCAATTTCCCCCTCACTTTTATTTTTTGAAGTTAATTCTTTTTTAGATAAGCTCTATGGGGTAGCAGCTATAGATTCTTTTTAATTGAATATGGAAGAGTGTAGAACTAAATGACTGAAGACACATTGCAACAAGAAAAGGTATTTG